GGGGTCGCGATGGGTCAGACACGACTTCACAATTAACAACAACATAGGGCTACCAATAACCATTAGGAAAAACAATAGCAAAACTTGAAATATTGTCCAAAAAGGGAAAAGTAACAAACAGACATACTTGTAATGTCTCTAAAGCTGGTGGCACTGAGTCCTTGGGCTGGAAACCTTATGGGAAAAAAGAAAACTTTTTTTTTAAAAAAATGTAATTTTCTTTGCTTTTTTTCTCTTTTGTTTTAACATTTAGCTGGACTTTTCTCTTGATGCCCTGGGCTCTTGAAGACTCTATCTTGTGCTTATGCCCAGAGATATTTGGTATATATAAATCAAATAAAATCAATAAACAGAATCATATTTAAGTCTTGAGATTGAACTGCAAGCAGAGCCAGAGGAATGATACCATGAAAGAATTGGTATTATCTCCCTTGCTGCTGTTCATTCTCTGTCTCTGTCTCTCTCTGTTTCTCTCTCTGTGTGTGTGTCTCTCTCTCAAAATATCTTGGTCTCTGCCCTTTTTAAAGATGTGTTTTTCTGAATCTCCTACGAAGATTATATATCATTGGTCTTAATCAACATACTAGGTTTTGTCAAAGAATTTCCAAGCTTCCAAGGGCACTTTTGTCTATGAAAGAGTATGGAAAAGCAATGTTCCTTGCCAATGAATAGGACATCAACCCTCAGAAGCTCTGTTGCCTGACCTTCCACCCTAAGAAGCTAGAAGATGGGCTGGGTGTTTTTTCTCCCCAACTGGAAGCTCGTTGTCTTGCAAAAAATGGCAGTCTTTGCTCAGGTCTTTTTATTTTACGTCTATTGTGATTTTATGACCTTTCTGAATTTGCTTTATTCGCATATCATTCTGAAGATACCTGGAGGGCTGATCTTAATAATTCTTTCAATCAATCAAAAGATAACAGCAGGGAAATACCCAGAAAGGGACAAACAGTCAATGGTGGTTGCACAGGGCACATAAAAGGAGCAGGGCTTTGAACATATGTTGACAGCTGCCATCTTGACTTTTTGATCTCCATAGCTGAAGCTGGATCCCAAAAGGATTAACTTACACTCTAGCCACCTTAGCTGTCATATTAAGCTTTAGCATGTGAATACTCCTATTTTGCAAGCCAGAATGTCACAGTGAAATAGGATATATTTTCCTGATGTTACCTAATCTAGAAGGACAGCATCGAATCCAAAGCCAGATCACAATTAGTAGCAGAAATGCCAGTATTCCTATGACAGACAAAGGTATTGCATAATGTTGATAGTCGGTTGTATGGAAAGTTGTTTCTGTGGGAAGTGGGGAGAGAGAAAGGAGGTTGGTTTTAGTCACAACTGCTTAGTAAACTCAAACCAATTAATTCTATCTTGCTCCTCATTTTACAGATTTGGAGAAATGGAACAGAAAGAGGATCCTTCTCTCTGCTGATTAGCAGAGGTCTTTAGCATTGCTCACGCAGATAAGTTGTTTTAAAAAACTCTGATTTATCTTGTGACTTTTTTAATGGTCAAATTGGTGAACAAAGAGTATTCCAGACAATATGTAGTGTCCATGGCATTAGAAAGCTGACTCACTGAAATACTACTTCAAAACTTGTGGGTGCAAAAGAACCAACGTTTTATCATAGACATAGAAAATAATTTACCTGCATACAGTGTGGTGCTCAGATTCATGGGCATGCCAGATGAATTGAATTTGACTTTGCAGATAAATTCCTCCCCACTGGTGGAAGAATTTTCAGGGATGTAAAGGATGCTGACAAATGTTAAGGAACCACTGTGGTTTTTCATTAAAAGAGTCTGTCCATCTTGGAGAATGTGGGAGGCATTCCAGGATATCTGGACCCAGTTGGAAACTCCATGAACCACACAAGCCAGCTGGCTGCCACTCTGTATTGCCTGGTCTTGTGCAGAAGGCTGTAAAATCATCACCCAACTGCTTGAGGTATAACTGTCTGAGGAGGAGGAGGAGGAGGAGATGACAACTCAATAAACAAACGACCCTTTGTAATTGTTAAAGTGGACAACTGCTTTCAGTGGATTTGCTAAACAGTGTCTTAGCCCTATTAGGCTAATCTGTATTTCCATTTCAAATCCATTATTCACCTCTTACATATGGCTACGTATGCTACTTATGGTTATTTATCCTACTTATGCTATTTATGATTGTGAAACTTGGACTCTGAAAAAGACAGGTAAGAGAAGGGTGGATGCCTTTAAACTGTGGTGCTGAAAGCGACTATTATGCATCCCATGGACTGCAAAAATAACAAACAAAGAAGTCCTAGACCAAACTTCACCAAAAATATCACTTAAAGCAAAGATCACCTAGGAGAGGCTGTCATAATTTGGTCATGTCATGAGAGTTGACTCACTCAAAATGTTGGTTATGCTGGGAGTGATCATCAATAAAAGGAGAAGGGGCCATCCTAATACTCACTGGCTGGACACTATAAAAGATGACATTGGGATGACTATGGTGGATCTGAAGGAGGCAGTACGAGACAGAGAGGCATGGAGATGCTGGTCCATAGAGTGGCCGAGAGTCAGACACGACTGAATGGTTGAAGATGACAACTTACCTCCCACAATCAAAGAAAATGCATCGACAAAATTCGAGGAAAAGTAATTTGAGGTTTTGTCCGCACACAGATATAAGCCAGTGTCTTCTGCTTTTGTGTTGAAAATTTCTAGTGTCAGCTCCTGTGCTTCACTCTTGCAGTTAAATTTCCCATTGCTGCCATCAGGCCCACATTGATCTGTTAAAAGCCTTAGTTTATTCTCTTCTCTTTTATACCAAAGAAATTTGTCTACGTTGTTGGTAATGTTTTCTGAAAAATTGCACACGATTTTTGCTTTTTCCCCAACATCCACAAATAGGAACTGATTATTCTGGGCTTTGTATACTGTGAAGACAAAATAAGAATAATATATTGGGATTCTAATTTTAATTTGATGTCAGATCAGGGGCAGGGAAGTCAAAGATCACATTCACCTCAGCTACAGTTGATCTTGGGCCACAGGTTATGAGGATCTGCTTCCCTCGGGAGGAAATATATACTATAATGGGATAAAGTAAGTAACTTAAAAGGCAGCATTATTCCTTTGATAGACTGTATTTCTGTCAAGTCCAATCTAAGAATGACATAGAACAACCCATCCAAGGATCAGTTCTTTATTTGCTTACATTTAATAGGCAGAATCTTGCCAGACTAAACCTTTACTACTCTCACCTCCAACAGATATGTCCTGGGAAATTCTAAAGAGTGGCTATCCTAATTCTCTTCTTCTGTTTTCTCTCCAGGTCTGGATGGTGTTGCCTCTTGTTTCACTCCCTCCTTAGAATGTGATTCTTCCTAACAGTTTCCTAGGAAACTACTTCACTGCAATCCATCACAACACTTCCCCCTTTGTAGGTATCATCCCTTACATCTTGACTAGAATTAAAAAAAAAAAAACAGAATCAGAGTTGTGGAGAAAACTCTTTAAGAAATCAAGTTAGACAACTACAAAGGCTTCTGTGGCATTTCAAAGACTATCAAGTACATTTTATTTGATTTCATGGAATGAAAACTGCTAAAATGTTATTAGCCTATAAGGTACCACATTTTTGCCCCCTAACTGCCACACGTAGAAAATCTCTTCTCAGAATCAGATCCAAAAGTGCTTGGCTAAGAGATTTCTGATAGAACAGATTGGACTTACCGATGGAGAGCAGGATAAGGCATTTGATGAACTGCATTGCTCAAGTAAGCATCCAAAGAAGGGCTGCAATTTGTGTACACCAGGTGGGTGGTAACAGTGTTGATAGCAAGCCATCAAAAAAAAACATTGGTGGCATGTGATTCACCTCTTTGGTTGACACAGAGGTGTGGATTCCGCTGCCTGCATTTCACCACCTCCTGTTTGACTTGGTTTTTCACATCTTTAGAACAGGACTGCAGGATATTTTCAGTTACTAGGTTAGTTTGGGGGGGGGGGTCACAGTTCTTGCTTTTTGGCTCCCTTGCTTTACAAGCTGATTTTACATACTATTATAGCATTATCTGAGCAGAATAATATTACTCAGTAATACGAATATTAGTGTGGGTGGAGAGGGGCTTGGATTTCCTCATTGCATAGCAACATGTCTTCCTAAAGCCCTGCATGCTCTCCTTTAAAAAAAGGGAAAAGTTAGCTATCAGACACAGATCTAAAGTTTTTCCAGTTGCGAATGTTTTTCTCGCCTCTCTTAATCTTCCTTCTCTTTCTCTAAGGAGTGACAGACACTCTAAAGGTGTTGCTGTGCATAACTGAAGAGGCTGGAAGCTGAAGAGAAGTCTAAGATGTTTCCCCATTGTGCTGGGATTCTTCTACTTGTCTTGCATGGTAAGTATTTTCAAAACTTAGTCTTATTCAGATTCAGAATTTTCATTAAAGAAAGGGTGCTTTCAGGTGAAGTTTTTCTCCATTAATCACTAGTTTATTTCTCTCACCCATGTGCAATGCAGCCTTTTTTATTTATATTTAAATACACACACAACATAAGGAGGGAGAGGTTATTACCTATGACTGTCAGAATGTGACTTCAGACAGGTCATCTCAATGATCACTTAGAGCACATCTCTAGAAATAAGCAAAGCATAACTCTCAGCTTTCAATATTTCCTATCAGCAGAGCACAGCTTATAGCCAACAAATTATTGTTCTTATAATGACATTAGAAACACAAAAGCACTAATTTGCAAAACAAATTGAGGGGTATTTTGCAGGCAATATTTAAAGCTTTTTTTCTGACACAAATGTTATTTTCAAATAAATTCTACAAAAATCCATTTTTTTCTACGCCAAATAGTTTAACACTTGAGTTGTATAGTTTCTGTGTTTTATTTCTATTCTGTTTATATGGCCTTGCATAATACCTTCATGAATAAAACAAATACAACTCAAGAACTTTCCAAATTATGATTGATTGATTGATTGATTGATTGATTGATTGATTGATTGATTGATTGATTGATTATGGGACTTCTACACAAACAGTGTATTAGTTTGTTGTGTAGACTATATGCTAATTGCTCCATTCAGCCAAGGTGATGTTTTGGGGGTTTGTAGAGGGGGAAATCCATCTTAATGTAGACTGCAAGATTGAATGAACTGAACCAATGAGTGAAGAATGCATATATGGAGAGAAGAGACATTCCTATTTTCTCTCTGCTTCATTTTGTAATAAAAGATTTATTTGTTTTCTTGCTATAGCAGCTGATTCACAGGGTAATGAAGTAAAAACAATTGAGGTCTCTTTTGGAGGCACGGTAAATATCAGCTGTGAAATTACAGGTGAGGCTTTAGCATGGACCGTGACCTGGTACAAGGAAGGACAAAACAAAAACCTGTGCAAGATTGATCAGGATGACAAGAACTTGAAAGGAGAGCAAAAGTATACCTTACAGTTGTATAATCTGATTATCAACAATGCACAAAGGAATGTCTCTGGTATTTATACCTGTGTTGTAAGTCAGGAAGCCAGCATACCACTTATGCACAGGACAAGAGTGATAATCACAGGTGAGAATTCAAGCATATTAATAACTCCCTCAGTGACTTTGGGCCAGCTATACTTTCTCAGTCCATCCTACTGTACAGAGTTCTTGTGAAGAAAAATGAGCAGAGTCTTATGTGTACCACCCATAGACTTGAAGGAGAAGTGGGATGTATACTTTAATAAATAAATGATGTAATCAAGCTCATTTTGGGGAAATCTAGAAAGATGATGGTTCACAGTGGAAGGTGGACATATGATGCATGCACATTTCAGTAAAAAAAAAAAAAAAAGAAATCCAGATACTTCCACCATCATAAATTGTAAAGTGTGGGCATGAAATATGGAAATATTGAACATTTCTAATGCCCTGCCAATGTATGGGAATTCTTTACCGTGAATAGCCCAATACATCTCCTTTTGATTTTTTATTTTCATGTATTGTTCACAATTTGCTATAGAATGGATTGGTCTTTGGCTGCTATAATTTGCTTTATCACCTCTCAGAACATTTGCTTTGATCTGATTGCTAGCCTACCTACCAATTTTATGAATGTGGTAAGCTAACCTAATTATTATTATCTTATAAGTAAATTTAATTCAAATTTAATTGAATGATAGAGTTCAAAGGGAATTTAAAAGAACGTACACAAATTCTTTTTTTGCTGGAAGGGAATATGTTTTAAATAGTTCTATCCAAAAACAAACAAGTTCTTTCCTTGACAATACAAGACTTTATGAGTAGGATATGTGTGAAAAAATTACTTTAGGTCTTTAAAAAAAATCTTCCTAGCATTTTCCTGCAAGCATAATTTAGAGAGCCAGTTTAGTCTAGTATTTAAGGCACCAGGCTAAAAAGCAGGAGACTGTGAGCTCAAGTCCCAACTTAGCCGTGAAAGCCAGTTGGGTGACTTTGGGCCAGTCGCTTTCTGTGAGCGCAGCCCATCTTACAGGGTTGTTGTTGTGGGGGAAATAGGAGGAGGAAGGTGTGCTGGATCTGTTCATCATCTTGAGTTGTTTGTAATAATAATAAAGTTGGGATACAAATTAAACAAAGAAAGAAAAAAAGAAATTCAAGGAGTATATAGCTAATAATAACCATTATCATTTTTCATCTCTTGTAGAAACTTTGAAGCCAAATCTTTCCATCCTTGTTCCATCCGTCTTGCCGGATGGGCCTCTGAAGCATGATATTCCTCTGCTCTGCACCCTTTTCAATGTTAGCCCTAATTCAAATACTGTCATTTGGAATATTAATGGAAAAATATATCAAGATAAGATGGATGTTGACATGATAGACGGGAAAGGAGCTTTCAGTATTTTGAGCTTGAAACTGATTCCTCCGGAGGACTGGCAGCCAGAAATGTCGTATAGTTGCTCATACCCAGGAAACATGACCATGCTGCAGTCTTCACAACAGGAAGTGTCCTCAAACAGGAAGCATCACAGGTACAGCATGGCAAAATAGTCAAATCAATTGATTTATCCAGAAATTCTAATATAATCATCTCCAACCAGCTGTCCTCCACTTATGTTGAGCCACATCTCCCATCATCTGCACTTAGAAGATGTAAGAATTTAGGTCTAAGTGGCTAAAGCCACTTCCATATGGAGGGCAAAGAAAATTGCATGGATGTATCCATAGAGTCACCAGGGGTTAAGCACAGCCCAAAGGAGTCTTTTCCTCTTTTATATATGTGGAGTGTACCAGACTGTGGAAACCTGTAGCCTTATAGGTACATGAGTGTAACCTGTTAGTTCATTCTTACAGTCTTCTTGCTTTTGGTTCCTTGACAGCTTTTACCAGGGACATATCCTCACAACAAAGACTTCATAGTGTTATCAGCATAGAGAGTAAGAAAGATGACCTTAATGGAAATATGCAAAAGCCATTACCTAGGCAAACATTTTTTTAAGCAAAATAATGTTTGGAAATGGCCTAGGAAGATTCACTGGAATATAAGGAGGAGGAGGAAGTACATTGCTATCAGATATGCAAAATTCTGTTATTACAGCTAATCTCAATTAAAGTAGTTTTAGCCTTTCTGTTGAGTTGATATCCTGATTTGGTCTACCTAGTGGAGATGACGCCAGGCCATTTCTAATACCAGAATGAAGCTGGATCAAAGTAATCCTACATGAAATTAAATTTCCATTAGAAGATGGAAGACAGCTTCTTATTCAAGCATTCTGATTCTCACCGAGGAGAAATCTAAGAAAAGTCAATGAACTGCAGAACATACCATGTCTGCTACATTGCAACTCTTTTCCATCCAGCCATTGAATTCTGTACCTCTGCGGCCATTTTTGTTTTAGCTGCCAGAGAGATCAGAACTTCATCCGGTGCACATTGCTGCCCCTGTCACCATCATCCACGGCTAATCACCAGTTTTGGAACTATCTATACTATGCAGTATTACTAGAGCCAATGTTGGGACAGGTGGCAATACTCCCCAGCAAAGACTGGCAGAGAGAAATGGGCAGCAAAAGGGTGAGAAGCAGGGAAAGAAAAGACCCACATTTGACCTGGTGGAGGGAAGAGAAGGAGGCAGCTGGAAAAAAAAAAGAACCATCTCCTAGCATTTTCCTCTTTCCTGCTGCTAAAGCTAGAGCAATAGCTGACTGTGGCCTCCATTTAAAATCAGGGAATCTACTGGCCTTGTTCCTGGTATGTGTTAAGAGGACCTTTAAAGATAGGAGGAAAGCAGGCAGGTAGACAGTTCATTTAGTGACCATTCAAAGTTATAGCACTGAAAAAAGTGACTTATGATCATTTTTCACACCATGCAGCATCTCCATGGTCATGTGATCAAAATTCAGATGCTTGGCAACTGACTCATATTGATGACGGTTGCAGTGGCCCGGGATCATGTGATCACCTTTTGCAAACTTCTGACAAGCAAAGTCAATGGGGAAGCCAGATTCACTTAACAACTGTATTGCTCACTTTACAACTGCATTGATGCACATAACAAATGTGGCAAGACAGGTCGTAAAATGGGGTAAAATTCACTTAACAATTATCTTGCTTAGCAACAGAAATTTCAGGCTCAATTGTGGTCGTAAGTCGAGGACTGCCTGTATTTGTGGGTGGGTAAATACAGCACGAGGCCTCAGAGACATTGCTTGGTAAAAAGCCAGAGAACTATAGGTGAAAAAGTGGTTGAACTGGGAAAGCAGATAAGGTTGAATCCCAAGGCTGTGGATTTCTGAAACAAGAGCTTGTGGTGTAAGAAAAAATGATTATTTGGGGGGAGGGGCAGATTTCTGAGCATTTTGGCCCAGTGGCTACTCTAACAGATTGTATTTATTGTTCCCTGCTCTCAGTTCACACAGTCCTGCTTTCATGGGACTTTCTCTTTTGGGTTATCCCACAACACCCTTCTCTTTCAAATTGCACTGTTGATTTATTGTTCAGAGGGTATTTTTTTTCAAGTAATGCATTTGACAGTGGCTTTGCCTTGTACAAACTATTATTTGATTCCTCAGATCTTTATCATGCTCCTTCTCTGCCCAGAAAATGAAGATAAGTCAGATCTTCAGGAATAAGATCCAAGAAGTATTTGGCAACTTACATGATGGCATTTTGGAAAGTTCATATTGTTGAAGCATTCTGAGATCGAGCAGTGGGATTATGCTAGAATTAATTTTTTAAAAAAGGAAGACTATATAGTGAGCGAGAATGGGAACTATATGCATTACGTATGAGTTGGGTATTAGGACATTTTTATGTGAATACGTTTCCAAATTACTTCACCTTTAGAAACCTAGGATGATTGAAGATAGTTTCCAATCCAGGAATGGCTGGGATAATGGACCAGAAAATGTGTTTCTGGCACTAATATCTTCTGTTAATGTATTTTCATTTTAGCCATTTTTGTTCTCCTATTGGAGCCGAACTGTTGTATTTAAATTGTCATTTTAATTAAAATAGCCTAGGGTATAGACAATAAAAGCAGCCAGTTAGGATTAAAAATAATAACAGAGAGAGCTAAAAAAAATCTACTCAGGCAGTGTTCCAAACTTAACGATTCTAGAGTTTTAGCCCTAAATAGTTATTTAATGTTGTATCCGGGTAATGGAAGCCAGCAAAACAAAATTCAAAGTAGCTTTCTGATGCAAAGTTCAATTTGTAGGCAAATAAAAGAATGCATAATCACCGGTGAGACTGACTTTGATTTTCCTCTTTTCATCTTTAGATCAAAGAAGTAGAACTAAGTGGGAGAAGGTTAAATGTGGTTTAAAGGGATTGAGAGTTTTGCGTAATAAATAGAAAATGGAAAGACTCACAAAGAAGAAAGTGAATGACAGAATTTAAAGGCTCAACATGAAGAACAGAAGTGCTTACGTTAATATCCAACCTTTCCTTCTAATATGTCCCTATGATTTATAGTCCACAAGCGTATATTAAAGACTCAATTGCATTTTCCATAATTCCATGAGAAGAAAAGGCACTGCCTTTACTGTAAAGTAGTTTGAGCTTTATCTTAGCAATTATCTACATGTTGGGTGCCTGCCAGTTTTTATACTATTCAAATGTTCAAGTATTTCTCCTTTATTATATCCAGCAATAAAGGGATGTGGTGGCCTAGAGGTGGAGCTCTCACCTCACAATCAGCAAGCTACGAGTTCAATCTTAGGTAGCTACAGATATTTCTCTCTTTGGGCTCAATGAGTAATTGTCTGCTGGGAACTCCGCATAGGTGTCAGGAAGGGCTCCATTCAGTTGCCCCAACTCCACCCCAATGCAAGGGATTACAAGGTCATTAAAAGAAAAAAGTATCCAGCAATAATACTGTACATAGGCACAACATTATAAAATTAGTAACATGGCTACTGTGAATGCTTCCTCTATGCCACTCAAATTAGCTGTCATAAAGATCTTCATTTTATCTTAGCAAAATCCTTAGGGTAGCTATATCTAGCCTTTCTAGGTCTTTTGCTAGAAATACAAAAATTCAAAAGAAGTTCTTTCCAGATCAGATAATAATAATAATAATAATAATAATAATAATAATAATAATAATAATAATAATAATAATAATAATAATAATAATAATAATANCAGGAAACCCTATACCATTTCGGACAAATGGCTGTCCAGTCTCTTCTTAAAAACTTCCAGTGTTGGAGCATTCACCGCTTCTGGAGGCAGGTTGTTCCACTGGTTAATTGTTCTCACTGTCAGGAAGTTTCTTCTTAGTTCTAGATTGCTTCTCTCCTTGATTAGTTTCCACCCGTTGCTTCTTGTCCTGCCTCCAGGCACTTTGGAAAATCACGCAGCTTGTCAATTGTTATTTTTTCTCTCTCTCATATTTCTGGATCACTGTGGATGAATGTTCTGTCTTCTGCTTGCAAGTCTATCATTTCCTCAGCTATCCTAGTATGGCACCTACTTTTTAAAAGTAAGTCCCTCACCTATATTTTGAAGGCATAAATCTTAATAGTTGTGAACCATGCCTGAAGATCCATCCTTTTGCCAAGATATTTTTTTCTGTCAATGTTTATATGGCTATTTGTGTATGCCTCCTGTGATTAAATTATACCGCAAATGTTCTGAATTTTGCGTTTTACTTTTATGCTTATCAAATCATGTTTCATCAAAATGTATATACGGTACATCACTTTCAGCATGGGATAAAAAAATTACACGGGGGGAGAGGGAGAGAAAGAGATAGATTCATAAGAATTATTTGGTGAACTGAATGAGAACTAAGAGGCATCATCTTACAAGAGTCATTTGTTTACATAAACACACAGTTCTTATCTGAGAGCTAGGAAAATAGCTTTCTTGCTATTATATGCAAATATATGCCAGTTCTGTCCAGGTACTGACAGATAAAACTCAAAACAAGAGAAAAGTTTAGTTGAATTGATATATCCCAGATCAAATGTTCCATGTCAATTTAACATTGGCATTGTCTTTAAATAGTTTATAATTTGATCCACGCCTAACCAAATCTGAGTTAGAAACATGTCAGATTTGCACATGAAAACTTATCTAGAGCACTTCTCAATAACAAAACTTGAGGCTGGAATAAGAATCCGTCAAAGAACAGATCAGATTGTTTTCCTTATTCTCTTTTCAGATACAAAGTAAAGATATAAGAATCTTTTGGATTAGATCATGGAAGTGGACAGTTCCACAAACAAATGAACAAACAAAGCCACTTCTGCAAGGATAGAAATGAGTTGAATGGATATTTAGGAGAAAAATTAGGAGATTTATCTCTCCCATAACAACTAACAACATTACCGTATGTAGCTTAAACATTTATCCTCTGTGATAAAAGAGAAGAAGGGGACAGCCATATTCTTTAGGACAGCTGGATCACTTAACATGGTGCTTGTTTTTCCAGAAGTGTTGGGAGTCTGAGGTGACTTGAAATGTGAGCATCTTGTATCCTCTTCCTGTTTTCCTCAGCCTTATGCTTTGTTTTCAGAAAGCATTTCCCAGAGGTAAGACACTGATAAGTCCTAATGATCTATTTTGGTATGCAGCTGATACTGTAATAGAAAAGCAAAGTCTTTGACACGTTTTTCTCTTATTGCCAAAAGCGAGAAGCTGAAAATGTGAGGATGTATTCCCAGCTGGGCTTACATAGCAGTAGATCCCATCTTGGTTTGCAACAGTCTTCATGCTTTAGGCCAAAACACACATAAAAGGAATACTTCAAAACTAGAGTGTGACATAGTCAGTTTACCATCACAGTTTCCTTTCGATCCAGAGGACTTCTTTTGTGTCAAACCAAGTTTCCAGGAAATGACATAATCTATTTATTCATTATTTTATTTAATAAGCAAGACTATATGGTTGCTGTATAATAGAACAGTTAAATGTATAAAACAATAATTGCACACACACACACACACACACACACACACACACACACACACACACACACACANATATATATATATATATATATATATATATATATATATATATATATATAACAATGTTGAACAGTTCACAAATTTGTTATCATCCTTGTGTGGGGCCATGCTCCTTTCTTTGTATCATTCCAATCTTATTTTTAAAACAAAAACAACATATGCAAAAGCATATATATATAGATGCATGTACAGTGTGGATGGCATGTAGCATTTGTTATGAGATTATGTTTGTCTTTTATAAATTACATTATTGAATTTTTTAAATAAAGAAATAAAAATATTTTTAAAAAAAAAATAAAGAAAAAGTGGCACCTAAAAGACCTTACCTTCCATGGAATATCCATGATTTTGCTTTATGTGGTAGAACATTAGCTGTATCATTTCTAATTTTAATTTTTGTCAGTACAATGGAAACCAAGCAATAGTCTGCCTAAACATTAAAAAAGTATTGGAACAATAAGGCAACTTCGTATGCACTTATTATATACATAAAAATATTTCAATTTTCAGTCTGTTCTATTTCAGTGGTAGTTTTCCAAGGCTAAATTGGCAATAAATTTGTAAAGTTCACTGCAATACATCAAGCTAGCATTCTAACTCATTCACCTTTGTCTTCTCCTGACAAAAACTGTAATGGAATTAACTAATCAATTACTCATGAGGAATGTCCATCAGGTAACCAGCACTTCATAACACTGAGTCTTGACAATATATGAAAAATGCTTGGGAAAAATAAGTACAAAGTCTTCAGATAAGCTAGTAGGATTCATCTTGGATTAAGAAATGGGACAGAAGGAATGCAAAGAGCTATGGAATTGCAGACTTAAAGTAAGAGGTCAGTGGACAATGTTATGAGAATAGGCTTGTATGGGCTTATTTATATGATTACCTCTAGAAAATGACCTCCAGATTACCAGCTTCAGAAGTTTAAACAAGAATAAAGTACTTGAGTGTTCTATTTTAAAATTCTCAGTGTAAAGTGACTGATAAAGGAAGCTTTGAGAGAGAAGTCAGGTTTCAAATTAATGTGAATTATAGAAATGATGTATCACTCTGAATATTCATTATTCTTACCAACATAATGTAATACACTCAAAAGTCACCATCCCCCTTGAATTCAGTGGATATAAGATTCTAAATTGCCATTTTAATGTAGATTACACAATATTAAATGAATAAAAGAAGCCGATTCAGACTATAAAAATTGTAATAGAACTGTTGCAAATATTGGAATTTCATTAATGGAACAGAGGAAGAGTTGTTTCAAGCCCAAAGAACAGTTTTTCATTTTAGAAAGAAGCATTTTACTTTGACTTTTCAGAGGTAGAAAATATAAAAATAAAACCATGTTCAGTTTTTGTCTGAAAGACTCCTGCCATTTTTCATGGCAGAAGAAGAAAAAAGATTATTCAGAATTCAGTTGCAGAAATTGAAGTATGATACAAAAGAAATGGCTAGACATCTATGTTAAATATCTCTGTCCCTATTATAAGATCAAAACCCACAGGGAAGAAAATATGTTTCAATTTGTTAAGATGATCTACACTGCTAATTCTAAAACTTTGGTTAATACATGAAACTTAGTTTGCATTAATGTGGCTCTATGCTCTATTTTTTTTTTTTAAAAAAATCTTCCTCTGGAGGCCTGAATGTGACCAAATGCAGTGAAAAAAGAGTGTGGAAAACTCACATCAAATCCAGCTGAGGAAACTGAGTCTTAAATATTAAAGGAAAATAACATAATATTATGTGGAAAGAAATATAACTTTGAGGTTGAGAAAAATATTTCTAAATTTTCTGAAAGTCCAGGGGAATCTAATTAATTTTCCTATTCAGAGAGAAAAAATGCATAATCAGGCAAGATGTTTAGTACAGCCAACTGATTTAATATAGGCTAGCTGTCAACTTTGAAGCAAATCCTTGGGGAAAATACTGGAAAAGAAGAGGACAAAATGTAACCAGGTCTGGAGGAAGAGCTTCTGGTCAGAAGAGTTAAAAGAAATATATTAATCTAGCCATAAATTAAAATATATTCAGATTTTTAGCCTTGGAAAACTACCACCAGCTTTTTGATTACCTAGTGTGCTAAAACAGGGGTCCCCAACCCCCGGTCCGTGGACCAGTACCGGCCCGCGTCATGCCAGCAACTGGTCCACACAAACAAGCAAAGCCCCATCTATGGGATGCAGACAGTACACAAAACCACGCACCCTCCAGTCCGCAGAAAAACCACGGAACCAGTCCCTGGTGCCCAAAAGGTTGGGGACCTGTGGGCTAAAAGACTTCTCAGAATCATTTTTTTTAAGTTAAAGGAAAGTTAGAATGGGAAGGAGAGTTCCTTTTACCCTTTAAATACTGCCCCCCCCCGACTTTGGCAGGAAAACATTGGCAATTTATGACCTGATTTTAATACACAGATGAGAGAGAATGACTTTTGTTTCCAGGTTGAAATCCTAATTCCATTTAGGGATTTCTGAGAGTCAGCACCATGGAGAACTCTCTCAATTCAAGTTTACACTTCCAAAATAGGAATTGTCTAAAAATTACCTGGTGTAAACTCATAAATTATGTCTCTTAAAAAAACCTTGCATTCCTCTACAACATCTAATGCATCATTAGGTTATTTATATTCAAAGTGACATCATCTTTTTTCTGAGGCTGACTTTTGGTAGTTAACTCTTAGATTTTTCCTGAGTATTAAATGAATAATCTCAGGATTAAATGAAAAATAATATCTCCACAGCCATAATTTTGGTTTTAATAGGGAAGTCTTAATAAATAAAACAGGAAAATAATCCTGGAAATGAGCTATTTTGTTGAATTTACATATATGTATAATCACTATCATTGCTGTATACCTCTATCAAAAATGGACAAGATTCTTAAAGCTGGCCCATTTTGGAGGTAAAGATGTTATATTAATAGCTTTAACTCCTAGTGTACTCTATATACTATAAAATCAAAACATCATAGGGGCTGTAACAAAAGGGATTTTATCCTATGTGGTAGACATGTAATAAAGTAGTAGCTTTCTGGCACAACATTTTTAGTGAAATTAGTATTATTACAACCAAAGATTTGAATGCTCTCAGAACCCAGTTTATTATATCCCTTTATGCAATCCAAAATAAAGAGCTGATTGTCTATTTGCTATTGGCAACCAAACCAATTATTGCTCAACGATTGGTTTGTAGATCAAAAAGCTTTCTCAAGTTCTTTATTAGAAAAAAATATACTCTATTAAAAAAAGCTTATAGTGATGAATTTCCAAAGGCAAGAATCACACTTTTATCACATTTGGACAGATTATATTCATTACATCAATTGCAACAGTATAATTTTGATAACTTTTACAATATATGGCGATTAAGAACAACTTTGAGATTTTTGGGTAATTGCCTTCTATTCTTTATTCTATTTTTTGTGTTTGTCTTTATAATACTGTATATTCTTTGTTTAGTCATTTGTCTCTTTGTGTAAACTACTGTTCAATAAATAATAGTAGTAGTTTACTTAAAAAAATACATGCTTGAGTAGTGTGGTGTAGAACAGAAGAACAACCCATTCTTGAACTGAACTCTAGAAACTGGATCCTACCTGTATTATTTCTTGGGAACCTATTAGAGCGAGGTAGAGGAATTGTGATCTTTCTTTGCAGCAGAGTGAAAGAAGTATTTAAATGAAAATAAACCTCAGAATTATCAGAAGTGATTCAAAGGCACAAACTGAAATCATCATTGACATATGAGACCAAACAGTTTATTGATCTTCCAGTTTTGGCCCAGGAAAATGTGGTCTGGCACCTCTTCAAAAGCGCATGACACAGGAAGAAAAGGTGGGTGTTAATTTCTTTGTGGTGTTTATCAAGAAAATAACTTATTCATGATGTCAAACTGCCTAGTATATTTTTGACACTCTATTCCGGCAAGAAATATTTGTAGAACTGAAGAAATAGGAAAATTAGTTTTCTCTTTAGCACCAAAGTTGCTTTTTGCTTTCATTTCTTTGTGCATCAAGGTTTCAGTCTTATGTTTACAGGTGAAATATTACTAAAGTTGGATACATTATGACTCAGAGTTTCACTGTTGGTACTGGGTAGCGAACACAACTGATGCAAGATAATAGATTGTGTGCAGATATTGAGAATACCATCCTCCTTGAATGAAGAACAGCCTATATCATAAGCACCAGAAAAGGTTTATTTGGTAAGCTGCAAAGAAAAAGGGGGCACTTGGACTTCTGGGGGCTTAAAGGATTATTCAACTTCCTACTTCTGTGCTAAGGAAAATGAAAATCTTTCAGCAATACATCACAACCCAATCATTGGAAGGCTCAGTTTTGCTCTGTAAATACCAAATGGCAAAGACAGGTTTATTTTGCATAGATCAGAGACAACCCTCTAATACCAACCCCCTGGAAATTGAATCCCACATTTGGCAACTGTTGAAGCTTCCCTGATTTGACATGGCAGCCTCTTGCAGGAATCAAGTCCTATGCATGGGTCAGCCTCAGAGTTTAAATTCTGGGACTTTTTCTCCTGATACTTCAGTTCAATGGAATTTTTGCCCATCTTTTTCCTTGCCTCAAGAGTCAGAGGCACCTACTCTGTGTTTCCATAGAAGCTGCATCTGACGTAACAATTGTCTTGCCGCCATCAGCCCTTATTGCTTTATGCGTTCAATTTATTCTTTTATTGCCTTTAAAATAGTGACCAAAAAGAAATGGAAGAGAACACAAAAATAAATATATATGCATTGTCAAATAAAAGAAAAAAAATACATAAGTGCTTTTAATAGAGAGTAAAAGAAATACAACAAAGAAAAAATATCATTTTAACAGTAAATAGTTAGAATTCTACAAACAATTATTTAATGAATTATTCAAGCATGTAGGTATTTCTAATACACTTATGTAATGGTCATTTTTTAAAAAAAAACCTATTATGTTCTTTCTGTATGAATGAGTTCCATATTTCATTATATGTATTCATACAAAATCTATGTCTACAGGCAATCTCTCATAGGAGGCAGGTGCATTCAGGTCTCCAATCCATTGTCTGCCCCCCCAAGTCACTATGTGAGGTGGGTGGCTATACAAATATGAGAGATAAATTAATATGAACTGCATGGAACAAAACATAGGTTAATGAAGTGAGATTTTTCCAGCTGTAGGGCAGCATCTCCTTCTCTGATGCCACCTGGGAGCTCTATGGGAAGCTGCTCTCACAAAGTGATGGATTAAGACTGGTAGGTAAGAAGAGGAACTGTATAAAAGAAAACTGTTGAAGTGGAACTGATATGACCTGAAAACATTTGGAAAGATCTTGATTGGAGGAAAGGGTCTTGGTGGAATGTGGAACCTGCTGGAACAACAAGAGATCTAATGCATTGTAACGTAACAGAATGCTCAGTAGGGAACAGTCTTCTTCAGGACCAGTTCAGCATGAATACAGCTAGTGAGTTGTCTGCTCTTCATATTCCTGTTCCATCTTTCTGCAAAGAGTCTCTAAGTGGCAATAGAAATCAATCTATTGATTCTCAACACATTGCAAAGATTTGGAATCAAGGATGGTTCCCACAACCAAATATGTGCTAATCTTTCCAATTAATGACCCCCGCCCATGAGTTCAGCTACTACTTCCCTAATTAACCTGTCATCAGTAAACCATGAGCAAAAGGCTTGTATCAGTTCATCTTACCTACTATTCCTTTGCAATGAAGGGTGGAGATTATAGTCTTATGCTGAACATGAAAAGAGCCACAAAGATGAATGACCTTGTCGAAACTAGACAAAGATGATGATTACACAAACAAAGCCCAAGCAACAAATGTATGTTACTATAAACTGTAACAACAGAGCATAGTTCCAGTTAATTTTTGTGCAATCTTTTTCCTGACCTGGCTTGCCTTTAAAGGCAGACGGAACATAAAGTTTTTTAACCATTTCCTAGGTTCAGGAGGAGATGGATATATTAGTGGCATCTTCCAGGGTGTATTTCTGAGGATTAAATTGCCACAACAGTAAATTTAGTTGAGACCCTGCATGTATCATCTCTGAAAATTAAGCATATAGCCTTAATGGGATAGTCTACTTTGTAGGAATAAGGAAGCAAATATCTCAAGGGATGGTAATATATCAGCCCCAGTTCACATTTTCTGCTCATTAATGTCATAATTGTTTTTCCTCTTTTCAGAGTTGATTGGCAGCAAGCATTTGTCCGTTCTGCTAAAAGATGAAATATTTACAGACTTCTTCAACACATTCCTCAATCTTCCTGTAAGTTTTCCCTCTCGGGTCAAGAATCATTTTCTGTATATGAACCAGTTATCAAAAATCTGTCATGTTGGCCTATAGTGCTATGCAAATTTGGTAACCATAATCCAAACTTATTTCTTTCTTTTTTTTAGTAGTACTTTCAGTGAAGTAGTGATGACACAAAATCAGGCAAATATACAGGATCACCAAGGAAAGTTTCCAAGGTTTTCTTTTCTATGTACCTGACCCCAGTGAAGACTTAATATATAGCTATTATATTTGGGATAAAACATATATATGGATGGCACTAGATGGCAGCAAAAGTCAGAGATTTGATCCAGATTTTTCAGTTCAGATTTGTTAAGGTGAAGGCACTTTTAAGATGGGCTCAACTCATGGTGATTTCATGGACACATCCACTCAGTTCTCTTAAGGACAGGATGGAAGTAGCTTGTCATTTCCTTCTGGGATGTTTTCAGCTTCCCCATCTAGCTTACAGCTCTGGAATTTCCTGGAGGTCTCCCATCTGGATGTAAATTGTACTTTACTCTGCTTAACTTCTGAGCCCAGACAGAGTATGCCCAGTATTGCTTAGCTCTACTCTAATGGAATTCTTTAAAAAACAAGGAACAGTTGAAATTCTCAGAGGTTGGAGTTACTGAACCAGAGACCATATTTAATCCTTCTCAGAATGCATGCTCTTCTTTCTCCTGCATAACAGAATAGAAGTCGTTCATTCATACAAAAAAAAACCCCCACATAATTCTGGGTCAAGTGCTGTATGGATTCTTACTCACATGGAATACAATTGATGAGAATTTACAAGTGGACCGTTCCAGGTTTGGAATGATGACAAATTCTTGCTCATTCTTCTACATCACTAAATCGACTACATATGTTGTATTTTTAAAGAATACATTCTATTCTGTTTTAAACCAGCCACATCTGACTGTTACTATCTCATCTGCAATCCTACATGTCATGTAGCATAACTATCATATCTAGGCTGCAGAAATCCTGATGCCCACTAAATGGCATCAGCCAGACAGTGAAAAAAGATTCTGTGTATGAAGATACACTTATGAAGGTGAGACCTGACCCTAAGCACATTCAGCTGGGTGCAGCAGCACAGCCATGTCTTACCTCTGAGAAAGGGCCCTGAAATTGTTAATATCCTTAATCTCCTGGGCCCAACCCATTTTTCAAGCAATTAGCATGAATTGCTAATTGCATTTCTGGAAGTAAGGTGTGGAGAGTGGGAATTTAATTATTTGTCCACATCGTAATCCTAGTCCAAATTTTATCTTTTGCTTCTGATGTTGTATCAGAAAGAATCCCCAATTCCTTTCCACTGCTCACAGAAGGTGGGGGCGGGATATGGTTGGGTCTTTGTAAGGCTTCTATTCATCTTGCTGGCTGAGGAATTCTGGAAGTTGAAGTCCACGTAGCTTAAAGTTGCTGAAGTCAAGAAACGTTGTTTTAAGAAATCAGTAAGTGCTAATTCTGTAAATTGCACCTACTGTATCTATACATCTACAGTACGTCTATATCTAGGCAGGATATGAAGATAATGTTTTACTTTGATTCTTTTTACAATGTGTTTAAGATTTGCCTGAAGCAAGGTTCCTAACATGATATATAGGTAGTCCTCAACTTACAACAGTTCGTTTAATGATAGTTCAAAGTTATAATGGCACTGAAAAAAGTGACATAATCATTTTTCACACTTAACAACTTACAGCATCCTCACAGTTATGTGATCAGAATTTGAACTTTTGGCAACTGGTAGGTATTTATGATGGTTGCAGTGTCCTGGAGTCATGTGAGTCACCTTTTGCAACCTTCTGACAAGCAAAGTTAATGGGGAAGCCAGATTCACTTAATAACCATGTTACTAATTTAACAACTTCGGTGATTTGCTTCACAATCATGGCAAGAAAGGCCGTAAAATGGGGCAAAACTCACTTAACATATGTCTCACTTAGCAAGAGAAATGTTAGGCTCAATTATGGCTGTAAATGGAGGGCTACCTGTATATTCTTCTCCCATTTTCACATGTGTTCTTTTGTGCAATGGGTTTTGTTTCAAAAAGTCCATAAAAATTTATTCCCATTAGGAAACCAAGGGGAAGAAGAAAATAAACATGTCTATACCCATGGGAACCAAAACGTCTTTTATGCTACTTTCTACTTGCCTAAGAACGATTGCCAATTTTCAACCCTGATTTTATTTATTAAACATGGGTTATTAATTACAGTCAACAGAGTGTGACCAACTCCCAATGAGGTTGCCTCAGTTTTAGCCAATATACCCATTAATCATGATGAAGGGAGGTACAGCCCACCAATATCTGAGCCTAAACAGCAGCTTTGCTAAGGAAGCCTTGCCCGTATACAGCTGGGTTCCTACACCATGCTAAGACGTAATATGATTGGTTAGGCATAGCAAGATGTGTGAGTCCCTGTCTGTCTCCCCTCCTCTTCTTCTCTCTCTGCAGGTGTTCGGTCAGACACCTCTTTTCATCTGCAGAACGCGTCAGTGGTATCTGTGGCCAGAGTTACCATGCAACCAGGTATGATTTTTCAATGTTGTGATGAAATTATGCACTGGAGGATGGACGTCACTGATTTATTCCAGGTCTTGGAAATGTAGCATATTAAATTTAGCCTCAATATAATCCTGTAGTCTAATCATGACTAATAATTAGCATTACTAGTAATCCTTTTCCATAAGATTAAAGTACAAAAATGTTTAAAAAACCAAAGTATATTAAAAATGCCTCACCACAAATCAAGGCACAATGAGGGGTGCTTGATCAGAAATATACCTATGATTTATGGTCAATTCTTCAAAGTGTGTTATGTTTTACAGTGTGAATTGAGATCTGTAGGGACATACGCCCATGTCTTACATCAACAACTACTTTGTGTAACCCAGAATCCACAAAGGAAATTTGATACATACAGTACCAGACTACGTAGATCCTCAAGGTTTTCTCCTTCAATATAATCAAGGTTATACAAGGCTATATAAAGCCCTTAAAGGCAGTAAGCTGTAAGGAAATAAAAGGAAATAAGAAAAAAGAAAATAAGATTTATTAAATCTAGTTCACTCATCTAGCAAGGTACACAGATTCATCTACTTGTTCGAGGTTGTTGTGACTCAGCTACAGCTTCACATTTATTTCTCCCTTTCCTTTCCCTTAGCCCTACAGGCACACAATATACTTATTTTCCTTCTTTCATCTGTTAATTCATATGCTTTACTCCTCTTATATTCTTCTATACTTAGAGTACATTCAGGTCCAGTATTTCTGGCTTCTATATACAGTAATCAGCACTGGAAAGTCTCCAGAATGGTGGCCAAATTTTGTGCCATTGCCATGGTAACCAGAATATACTGAATCTGTCCATACCATGGGTATTCTTAATCTCAGGTACAAATACAGTAGGTTTTAAGTCATGGTTAATCCTTTCTTCTGACAGAATCACTCACATGTGGTCACATGTCCTCTAGAAAACAAGCCAGAATATTCTCCAAGGTCCCTGTATTCCAGAACGGCAATTCTTTTCTTGCTCATGCAGATCTTTGGCTCATGCAGATTATTTTAAAAGGTCTCATTGTTGTTTTGGGGGTTCATACAGGTATCAAAGCACAAAGGCCTGTTGAATTGGATGGAGAAGCATCGGCTGCCTTTCTTCTGCAAAACAAATCTGTTTCTTCACTATGTACTCTGTGAGGAGCTTGTCAGTTTCATCCGCTCTCCAGAGGCAGGTGAGAGTTGAAGCTAAATGTGGAAAGTTAACATAGACAGGACATGGGGTTTTTGGGAGAGTGAGGATATAATTTTTTGGAACTGAGCACCTTGCTTTTGGACTGAGAGGCAGGATAGACAATGTTTTTGAATTTGTCCAGGGGAAAGGGAAATTTTCCAACAACTGCTCAAGAGCAGAGGTATCTCAGGTAGTAATATTACTACTCCTACAAGGCACTACTACTCAACAATCCCAGTGGAAGTTCTAATGTAAATCTGTAAAGCCAAGGAGCTGCAGGCTGCTGGAGAAATGGCAATGGATTGAAAGAAAGGGCCCAGTACTTCCTGAAGTTCACATATAAGCTGCTCAATTGCCTCCTTGTTAGAAAAGGTACTAAACTCATGCTCAGAACAAGCCCTGCCATTAGTTGTCTGGCAGACTTGTTTTGAATGTGGGTTTAGCACTTTGGTGGATGGTGGGAACCCAATTCAGTCCCATGGAACATATGATTCAAGGTGCAAAACTTCCCAGTACAGTAGAAGAACATGTCTCACATTATGAAGCATTTTAATAATTAAGGGCTGAATAGGCTTCTTCTGAACACGGATTTATTAGTGTGCTAAGCTCATAGTCAAAACAAATTTGTTGTCAAGAGCTGTTGAGTAAAGTGGGGGAATTTGCCTCATTGGGCAGATTTCCCACCCCTCGGATCAATTATCCTATGCACTGAGCAAGTATCAAGTTGTGACAGATAGCTACTCCAATGGCCCTAACCATCTGACAAAACATCCCTCCATCATAATGCTTTCATTGGCAGGTGGTTACATCAACTGCTAACAAAAAAAGGAGGGGCAACAAAGCGATGGCTCATCCAATGACTTCACTTAACATACCCTGTGTATCCAGAATCAGGACTCTACCATCCAATGGCAAGCTAGGGCAGGAGCAAAAGAGTCAGGATAGGGATTGGTAGCAAACTTTGCGACCACAGGTTTTTTCTGCCAGCTAAAGACCATGTAGATGTCACTTTAATGAAAGGGCCACTGTTAAGAGCACTGCTTTGAATCTGATTCTAAAAAACCTTCAGAATGTACAGAGGTATGAATATAGCACCCGACTGCAAGTCCTTATTGCAGCCATTTTTTTCCCTGGAATTGCACCTTTGCTTTGTTGTCTCATGAGTCTAGAAAGAGCCATGACTACTTTCCAGGTTTGCAGACAGCTACCCTTGCACTCCAGCATTGTCTTCAGCACTACAGAGCCCTACATTCTACTACTGTCCCAACCAAAGTGAATTAAACCCAATAGAAATTCTGCAAAAACTTTCCATTGCTAAGTATTGATCATGCTGATGTTTTGTTGTTATTCTTACTTAAGGAGTTATAAATTCTGTTCGGTAAGTAGCTATTTTCCATTTTACTAGACCAGCCTGACCAACAATCAGAAAGAAACCAGTGATTTACCCCAGCAGTAATTGTGGGTTACACTAAGAGCCTTATTTTCCAAATGTTGTGAATATGACAAGGCAGAGAAGGCACATTTTATTAAGCAATAAGGTTTGCCCATCTGGTTCAAGTTCTCCAACACTTTGCATGCTGTCCCCAAGAAACTGCCACTAAATCAATTCCAAAATACCCAGTATTGTATAGTGGTTAAGGCACCAGCCTAGAAACTGGGGAATCATGAGTTCTATTTCTGCCTTAGGCACAAAGCCAGCTGGGTGACTTTGGGCCAGTCACTTTCTCTCTACTCTAGAAAGAAGATCATAGCAAATCACTTCTGAAAAATCTTGCCAATAAAACTGCAGGGACTTGTCCAGTATTCACCAGAAATCAACACTGACCTGAAGACAAAAATAAAAAATAAAAAAATTCAGTTCCAAGCTTATACATTTAGTATTAGTTGCATTCTGCCAGATTATATCTTTACACTTTATGAAAAAGTGTACTTAAGCTAATCTCTCACTAAAATTAAAGTTGTTCAAGGCAGATTTTGCTATATAAAAAAATCACCATTCACCAGACCTTTCCAATGAAAGTGGTTCAGGTTAAAAACAGACAGATGGATCTTGTTACAGAGCACTCCATCATTGTGCAAGCTTTTGATCTTATAAATCTGAAGTGCAAACTGGCTGGTGAGTAATGGAGTTGAAAATTGCACCTGGATTAATTATATTTACATAGAAAGAAGCAAATGCTGGGTTTTCAGTGGACAGCCAGGCACAATTAAATAAATGCATTAGATCAGCTGATATGGATGCTAATTCCAGGCCTTTTCAGTAGAAAAAGTCCAGTTGATGAGCTGCTTGGGTCCCCCCCCCCCTATTTTGTTACTTCTGGTACAAAAACAAGTAGTTTCTAAGCCATGGGAAAGGACCCCCATTTCACCCCTGAAAAAATGTTCTCTGGTGACATTGTCTTTGTTTTTCTTTTGCAGCGGAGATGTTGCGATGGAAAAAGGCTGATCAGTGGCTGCTTGAGAAATGCATTGCTGGCAGCAGAGGCATGTGGCGTTTTCGGTCCTTCATGCAAGGAATGGCAGGTAGACAAGGCAGCACCAAAAATCACACTCAAAGAGAAACGGAGCTAAAGAGAGTTGAACGATTCCTCTCCCAGATCAATGGGACCATAGCTCAAAGGATGAAGAACAGGAAGAGGCCCCTGGTTCCAATCCTTGACTGTTTGAAATTTAATAGGTTGGCAAAAATGTTCTTCCTGAAATCCTACAGAGCTAGGATTAATATACCATCCTTGATCTGAGCAGTATTTCCTGCCTTGTCCCTTTTTAGAAAACATGCAAAATCTGGTGTGGGTGATATGACCAGCAAAAGAGATTAGCTGTGATCACACCAGCCTTCAACACTGCTGTCCTAAATTCTATGCCTTGGAAACACAAATGCAAAAAAAGAAAAGAAAAGAAAAGAAAAAGAAAAGAGTAAAATACTGTCCTAATCAGTGGTTACTAGGGAAAAAAAATCTTACAACCTGCTACTGATGAGAAAGAGGAAGGGTTTGCAGGGTGGGATAGATATAAAAGCAGAGAGGAAGCATAATTCCTACCTAGTCTGGGGTTAACATATCTGGGTTGCAAAAATATTGATTACCACAAGATGTCAGCAAAGAGTCAGAATTTGCTTTGTCTTTTGCTAGCCTCTAGGGGTCATCCTAGCCCAGCCACCATATCCAAAGGGAGACAAACACTGGGGATGGTTATGAAACTAGGCAAACTACAGGCCTGATTAAATTAGGCCAGCCTGTTATTTTATAACAAGCTCCTTTATGGTTTCTGCCTTCAGTTAAGGAGCTGGTAAGAATATGCCCATTCAGTCTCCCTTTGGGCGAAGAACACATTTTTGGTTATGGCATGAACATATCCAGATTTGCTAACTAAAGAAAGATGCTTAAATATCTAGTTCTGATTTATTTGTCAGTCTTGTACATTCTCCCATGGGGCAAATGGAAAAAGGTTTGCCAGGTGTCCACTATTTGAGTGGACAGTCCACTTTTTTCACATTATGTTCACTATTTTTTTCACAAAATAGTGGACATTTTTTTTATTCAAAAGCTTTATGATGAAATGGTACGTAATCTAAAGCTGTACAGTCTACTTTTTTTACTACTTAACCACCACCACCCCCGCTTGTCCGCTATTTTTTGGAAGCAGACCTGGCAACCCTAAATGGAAATACTCATTGCATCACCATTCTTTTATGAAATGAAATCAAAGAAATTATATTTTGGGAGAGGGGAGTCACCCAAAGGTGCATTTGCACAGACAGTAGCCCATCAGCTTTCTTTAGCGTAGCTTTGACTGTTCATTTGCTTTTTCTTGTAAGAGAAAAAACAGAGTTAGACTCCACCCCATGAGAATGCTTTCATATCAGTTCCACTACTCTAAGGCTAGCATTAGGACTTTCTTTACCCCCACTTCAAATTCTGTTATGTTTCTTTCCAGACAGGGAAGTGACCTTAATAGGAGCGTTTTTACAGACCTCCTCTTGATGCAGACAGTAGGCAATTACTTAGTTATCTATCCACAAGTGGCATCCTACGTGTGCTTTGGAGTCACTCCTGGCAATGTTTTCAGACATGACTTGCAATTACCTTCTAGGACTGAGAGAGAGTGACTGATCCAAAGTCACCTAAGACTTTTGGTTTCTAGCCTGGTTCCTTTAACCATACCTCATGAATCTCTTTCCTTATTTAAGTTTCAGACTAGACAATAGAACTACCATCTATGTCATTCATTCATTCATTCATTCATTCATTCATTCATTCATTCATTCATTCATTGAATTTCTATCCCACCCATGTTACTGATACAGCAACTCTGGTCATGTTCTCATACCAGAGGTCCATGATACCACAACCCCAGAGGTTGGCTTTATTGCAGGAATATTTCCTTAAGATCAGTGGAGGATTAAAGAATTTCCACAGACAAACCTACTTTTTTTTTTTTTTTTACAAAAAAGCAAAGGAAGAACCACTGAGTGGAATATCTAAATGTTGAGCTATTTTGCTAGTATCTGGTATTGTTGGGGACTAAAGAGGTGGCAAAATCAAATAGTTCTATCCTAATGTATATAGGAGAAGAGCTCACCAAGTTCTGGCTTGCTGCAGAAAGGATACTTGGGATTGATGAAAGAGATGAATCCCAGCAAGATCTCTATGTGTCACTGATCCAGATCCTGATGGCCACCCACTTGCAAGAAGGGTCTACAGTTGTCACCCTCTGTAACACAACTGTTGGTAAGTGAACATATATCTTGGGGTCAGAATTGTCCTTTTCTAGCTACATATTATGAGAAAACTGTAGGAATCAAATATCCAGATTCATTAAACCACTTACCAATCCAACATCTCCAGGAACCTAAAGGATTGCTTATTGATTCACTGCAGGAAGAGAAAGTCTTGATTCATTCCATGATTCAGTCAATCAGAATAGAGCTAGAAAGAACCTTGGAGGTCTTCCAACCCCCTGCTCAAGCAGGAAATCCTATACCATTTCATACATGTGGTTGTCCAGTCTTTTCTTAAAAACCTCCAGTGATGAAGCACCTACAACTTCTGAAGGCAAGCTGTTCCATTGGTTAATTGTCCCCACTATTAGGAAGTTTTTCCTTAATTCCAGGTTGCTTCTCTCCTCGATTAGTTTCCATCCATTGCTTCTTGTCTTGCCTTCTGGTGCTTTGGAAAATAAGTTGACTCCCTCTTCTTTGTGACAGCCCCTCAAATACTTGAATACTGCTATCATGTCACCCCTCATCCTTCTTTCTCTAAACTGGCCATACCCAATTCCTGCAACTGTTCTTCATATGCTTTTGTTTACAGGCCCTCAATCATCTTAGTTGCTCTTCTTTGCACTTTTTCCAAAGTCTCAACATCTTTTTGTAATGTGGTGACCAAAATTGGAAGCGGTATTCCAGGTGTGGTCTTACCAAGGATTTATAAATTCCTCTAGATGAATATCTCTCCTAGAGATTGTGCTGGCTATGCTTTCTTCAAAGAAGGTTATATGAAGAACCTTCTAGAGCAAAACCTATCTAGGCCAGTAACTTGCTTCCCAACAAAGATGAAACCCATGCTTCCAAAGAGCCTTACATTTCCATCTGCTTTTCCTTTTCTTTGCATGGAAAATCTCTACACACACACACACACACACACACGGACACAAAACTGCCTCAACACTGAGGTTCTATTCAACATAATAAATTTCCCTCACAATTACCCTCAGGAAACCTGGACAGAATAGCACTCAGTAGATGTACTTGCATAATACACTTAAACTGATGTACTGAATTGCTTCATGTTCTGAATTCACATAGTATATTAAACCACAAACCAATGAAACAGACAAGGGTTGCAAAAGCCTTAAAACCACAAAAGAACCAACCATATTAACACATGATAATGCAGCCCTTAGGCCTTTAACTATTAAAATTTATGTTTCGTATGAGCACACAGCCATTTAGACTCTAGAAAGGGGTACTTGAGTATATTTTTTTACATATAGCCATTTTACAAATCTGTGCATGTGTAGGCTTGAAATGTTCCTTGACATTTAAAATCGCAAAGAAGAGTCAGCTATCAGAAGCATAGAAAATACTTGAAACAGATTATCTGAGCTTCCTCAAACTGGCATCCCTGCAAATATGCTCAAATTGAACTTGCAAAATTCCCAGCCAGAAAATTCCCAGAAAGATTTGCCTAGGCAGTAACAGCTCAGTAATGGCCTCCTTAGGTCTGATCCAAACATCAGAAAGAGACAAGTCAACATGGGATTAAAGAATTCAGGTACGCCCTCTTCCTCCTTCCATAAACAAGGAAATCCCTGAGTCCTCTTTTTCTGATTTGTTCTCCTCTTCCCAGAATCACTTCTGAAAAAGACTCCCTTCCACCGGCAACACATCCACACTCGGAGGGAAATCCTACGTGAGATGCAGAAAGTGGCCCTGTTCAAGATTGAAAGCTACTGGCTCCCCAACTTCTTCATTCATTGCAAATTAAGCATGGAGGATGAGCCCAAATGTCTCCCTCTGCTCAAGCAGTATCAGGACCGTTCACTTCAGTCTGGCCTGCAGAGGCAGAAGTCATCGGCTCTGCCTTCCATGAGCATCCGAGAAAGCAGTCTGGACACAAAATCCTACTACAGTTTGAAAAACAAGAGGGAAATCTGGGATCAGATCGGAGGTAGGAGCCTTTCTCACAAAGGGAAAAAAAAAGATGGCCGCAGCCAGAAGCTCAAATCGCATAAAGGCAGTCCGGTTCCCAAGAAGCCGACCTTCTCCAGAAAAAGCTTCTCAAGTTCCAGTGCTCGTCACACGGAACTCATCTGGGACTCTGAGGATGTGATGCCTTTCGACGAATCACCAAGCTCCAAAAGTAGCCCAAGTGAGTTCTTCACCTCCCCTATATCTGATGAGTTCCCTGACAAGTGCACCTTCAACAAATTGCGCTCCTCCACTCCTGTGGTGCAGTTCCCTTCCATGCTTGCTCTGAAAACCCTCGTCAAATCTGCCCCATGCTTAGACTTCCTTCCTTGGGTGCTCATGGCTGACAAATGTGCAGGACGCCCCTTCAGGGAGTTTTTGCTGCGGCGGAACTATGCAGTAGAAGTCCATCTGCTTGATCTGTGGCATGACCTGGAGGACTTCTTGCGCATGATGTTGTGCTCCCTTGGTGAAGGGAACATCCTTCTGCGCCACGTGATGGGGGAAAGGATTTGTGAGCTGTACCTGACGCAGAGCAACAATTGGCATCTGCCTCTGAAACTAACGACACTCCAGAGTTTGCAGAATCTCCTGCCTTCTGGTCATGTGATTCCCTGGGTCCTGAAGGCACAGAAGGAAATCTGTAAGGTGGGAAGACCCTCATCTCCATCTTTTTTCCAGGAAAAGCAACCTAATCTTTTAGCAGCTTTGCTAGGTCCTGGGGCTATGATGCATGCAATATCTATGGTTTGCCTCACAGATAGAAAGGGTGCTTCACTGCTTGTAACTAACATGGTTTAAATGTGCTCTGATAACAATTTATTTCTGCAGGGTTCCTAAAGCATTGCTAACATTGTCTCCAGCCCATGAGTGACACTGGCTTAAATCATCATTGGCTGAACTCATCTTAAGATACTAGTCCCCCCCTCTTATTCTAAAACTGTCCAAAGGCAGACCCAAGGTAAATAAAATCTGTTAGGCTTTGTCACCCATTGCTTGAAAGAAAGTTAGGAGGAACAGACACAATAGAGGCAAAATAAGGATTGGCAATGGAGGCATCAAATGTTCTGATGGTACAATTTTCTGCCAACTCAAAAAATGGGAGGAGAAAATAGTATTCAACAGTAAGGAAAGGAGCAATATCTAGTCATTGCTAAATAATCAATTCGTGTGAAACTGAAAAAAATCATTTACTTAGGTGGTGTTCTTATGTTCATTTTAGATACTCAGCTTCCTCTATGAGGAGTTTCTTCAGAATGATGACAAAATGTTCCTGTATTATGTGGTAAGAGGGAGCTACAGAGATCTTTAGTTCAGGTGGGAGAGACAAGTAAGGGATCCAAATAAAATACAAGGGAAACAAAACCTATACATTGTAAGTTACAATGGAGGCCCAAATTTATGTTGTTAAGTGAGACATTTGTTAAGTGAATTTTCCCCCATTTTACGACCTTTCTTGCTAGGTTTGTGAAGCGAATCACTGCAATTGTTAAGTTAGTAACACGGTTGTTAAGTGAATTTGTTTTCTCCATTGACTTTGCTTGTCAGAAGGTCGCAAAAGGTGATCACTTGACCCTGGGACATTGCAACCATCATAAATATGAGTCAATTGCCAAGTGCCTGAAATTTGATCACGTGACCATGGGGTTGCTGCAATAGTCATAAGTGTTAAAAATGGTCATAAGTCTTTTTTTTCAGTGCTGTTGTAAATGAACTGTTGTAAGTTGAGGACTACTTGTATAGTCTTGGAGCAGAAAAGTTGTCAGATTTCAGAAGGAATAGATGTTAGATACAAGATTAGAGAATTTGCTTTGGTAACATGTGACATGAGGGTCTGTTACCTGTTGAAACAAGCTTTTAAAAAATAGTTTCAATTAAAGGTCATCAGAATAGCTCAAGAATGGTGCTTTCAGCTGGATTAGGCCAGAGATGTACTCAAAAGTAGTCCTTCAAGGCTTTGTTTGCAAAAAGCAGTGAGTTTTAACAGACAGATATTTCCGTTTCTCCAAGCACTCCTGATTATTGAGGTACTGACTTCGATGACCAAAAACCAGTGAATTAAAAAAAAAACTGACAAGGTTCTAGAAAGCAAGTACAAGATTAGAAAGGGGGGATTCAGAATGAACATACTGCCCCCAGGTCTCTCAGAATAGGCCTGCAAGATTTGGGCAAAAAAAAAAAAGTCTCAGTGATTACTTGAAGGCAGCAAAGTTTTAAGAGTTGTGTCAGCTTCCATCTCATAGAGATTTTCGCAGCCTAGATCTGGCAGTCCAATCTCAGAGTCTGAGAAAAAAAGTTCTGTATGGATCTGCATTGTGTAGTATTCCAACATTCACTGCTTTGAATAACCAGCTGTAATTTGCACATTAATATCTTCTTCTGCAGAGTGGCAAGGAAAAGAAACCAAATGCAGAAGAACTGCATGACAGAATTGAGAACCTGCAGTTGATCAAAAGGATTGTTGAATCCTTGCATCTGAGCCAGGCCTTAGCTGGCATGAGGGACTTTGACCTGCTGACACGAGAGCACTGGCAACTGTTGGGCATTCAGGACCTGGCCATGGGAGGCTCTATTTTCATGGAATTGGAGCCTGTTGCACCACAGAGGGGTAAATTGACAGAGTTGGCTCAGCAAAAGCAGTGTTTAACTGGAGAGCAAGATCTGAGTCCTTCCAGGGTTAGCAATTTAGAATATATTTGGGGTACATGGATCCACACTTATCTTGTTGATATACAACATGCTTGTTTAAGCTACAATGGGATGGGGTAATTTTTGACTGAAGGATTGTGGGAAGTCAGACACTGTCTTAGCATGCTATGAGAAACAGGCCTCTGCTGCTACAGGTCTCTTACTGCTATTGGTTTGACCTGGGTTTAGCATGTCAAATGGCTCCTGTCCACTTGGTACTTAGCATGGTTTTAAATCTCTATCCTAAAAGGACCCTGAGAATTGCTCAGTGGCCAACATCCAACAGAGATGGGTTGTATTTGAAGTCAATATGGGGACATGGGGAGGGGGTGGATCAGTTTCTCATTAAGGAAAAAGCAGTTTGAATCATTTTAATATAAGAATACAAATAAAATATTTTCTGTCACTCAGATACATACTCAACTGTAGCATCCTAGATGTGGGCCGTCAAGCCCACAGTTTCACATTATGGAATAATATATATGGGAATCCACATTATATATGTATACAAACACATACACACAAACAAAAATATTGTCAATATTAATTTTAACTCGGCAACTCTGGGAGACACAGCCAGGACTTGTATTACATGCTGCCCTGCTTCATTCACAAAATTCAAGATTAAAATCAAGATTTCCATTTGTAAGCCAGCTTTGTTTGTTTGTTTGTTTAATATAAAATAGCTGCCCATCTCAACAAATTATTCTGAGCAACAAACAAGGTTAAAAATAAAAATCAAGCAATTATAATTCACAGAACACACTGAGAGATATACAGCAGTTATGAATCGTTAACCCACTTGGGGTCCCGGAAACAAGCACAAAACCAGATCTTTAGGCTCTCACAAAAAATGACAGTAGGGTCAGGTCCATCCTTAACCCTAGAGATAGAATATTTCAGAAGGTAGGCTGAAAAGACTCATATTGTGAGCTGTGCTGATGATGTCACTTAGATGGGTAATGAAATGTCTGCAAGCAAGCAACCGAGTTCTGAGAACCCCAAGGACTTCAAAAGATCATATTTTCCTATTGCTTTTGCACTCTTTTTTCTGGTTACCGAATAAATAATATAACATAGGTCCTTTTTTACGGAGGTAAAAATGGAGCCGGTGTATATTGCTTTGATTTGAGAGTGGCAGGAGTCTCCATATTGAATTACCTAAGGGCCATATTCTGAGTGCTAGATAGTCAATTGGCGAGTGCCTTCAAGAAAGCTGTCCAGAGGCAGATTTCCACCCAACTCTCAGAAGTGTAAGGGGATCATGTTTGCAGAGATTTATCTCTGGAACCGCAAGAGCTGGTTCTTTGGAACTGGGGCAGCGTTGGGTGGCTCAGAGAGCAAAGGTAGCTGGATTGAATTAGAGTCTGCTTCCTGGTTGGGTAAAATTGCTTGTAGTGCTTTAAGAGTGGAGCCATAGGGTCTAAAATGCATGGCTGAATCTCTCGTGACGCCAGATACAAAATCACCTGCAATTTCATGGTGTACTGAGTTACATCTGAGTTGTAACTTCTTCCCCCATAACATGAACAAATCCTGAGTAGTCAAGTCAACCGGGTAGCTCAAAACTGCTAATGACTCCCATGCTTGTTCTTCCCGTTTCTCCCCCTGCCCATAACAACAGATTATGGCGGCATGACGTTTGAGGAGCTGGCTCGGCTGAATCCCAAGATGGCTGTGGAACTTCTTAGCAAGAACTTCAGGGAGTTCTGCAAGAGATGTCCATCAGGCAGTGAGTTCTTGGAGTGCTGGATTCAAGAGGAATTCACCTGGCTCACAAACAATATGGAAGAAAATAGAATAGACCTCCCAATAGAGATGATTATGGAGTATTGGTTCCTTTCTGTTACCTTAATATCTCAGAATAGGAAAAGAAAAAAAATCTGGAGGCATCTAAAAATAAAGTACAGATACTCCTTGTTTAGCAACCACAATTGGGACTAAGCAAAGCAATTGATCATTAAGCAAAGCAGTCACAAAGTGAAACCATGATTGTGCTTATTATCCTACTTCAGCTTTCCTCACCTCTTACAGATCTGTGAAGGTTGTAAATGTGATGATTGGTTGTAAAGTTCCTTTTTCATCACTTTCAGAACTGCAAACAGTTGCTAAACCAAGCATGAGGACTAACTGTATTTCCTGCAGCAGTCTTGAGATTCTGCAAGGATATCATATTTTCAGAGTACCAGCGCCTCAGACTCTTGTTGCCAAATTTTATGATTTCACCATTGAAGTGAAGTAAGATATTCTGATGATACAAGATACTGCAGGAACAGGAAAAATCTAGCTGTTTGTAAGCGGATGAGGCTGGTGGAGAACTGACAGCCACTTATAACCTGCCAGTTATTAACTGATAAGGGAATGCCGAATGCCTCAACCAATTGCTGCTTGGGTATTGTTAGCTATCTTCACTTCACATTTAAAAATATCTCTCTTCTCCCTCATATAAAATAAAATAATGAAAAATAATATGCAGATGTTCAGTCTGTCCATCATGGCAGCTTGTCTCTTGGCATTACAGCCCCACATTTTGTGCCTTCTGCCTATCCTCCCGACTTGCTGGTATGTCTAGCATGAGATGGGAAGCATTCCCTTCAAGGGCCATCCTAACCATCCAGTATGTTACAGCAAAGGAAAATGCAGCCTCTTCTGCAGGGCACTTGGTGCTGGAAAGTGGCAATGCTCAGTTAGTATAAAATAGCAATAGCACTTAGACTTACAGTATGTATATTGTCACACAGTGCTTTACAGCACTCTCTGGGTGGTTTGCAATGTCAACATTATTTGCATATTGCCCCCAACAATCTGGGTCCTAATTTTACTGACCTCAGAAGGATGGAAGGCTGAGTCAACCTTGAGCTTGGCAGGATCGAACTCCAGGTCTGTGGGCAGAGTTAGCCTGCAATACTGCATTCTAACCACTGCGCCACCAGGGTTCCTGATACTGCAATTGCAGCAGGGGAGAGCTAGAAGCATCTAAAATGGCCAATGATGATGTCAATCAATCAGTGTGGAGGGGTTTAATTTGTTCTGTGAGCAGATCCTAACCTACATCTGCTAATGCTCAGGTGAATTGAAGATTTAATATAGGCTTCAAATCTTTTACGCTCATCTTCAGAAGGTGCTCCTTGCCCCGCTCCCAAATCAGATAAGACAGAGATTGTACTTATCTGGAAATGTCCTGTTATTTCTTTACAGAAGTGTTTGTTCGGCCAGTGGTTCCCAAAAGGAGTCTCCAATGGGCCAGATCAAGTTTCTCCTTCCTGAGGAAGGCTGTGGTTAGGAAACCAATTTCAAAGCCCAGGTATTTATCTCATCTACCCAGAAGGGATACATTCTGCTATTTCATCCAATTTTTAGCCAAACAGGCTTTGCTCATTAAATAGCAACTGGAGAAAAAAAAACCTAAGAAATATGGATCAGGGAATTAGAGATGGAGTGAGGGAGTAAATATCTTCTTCATTTCTTTGACAAACTCCAAATAAAGATATTTTCTCTAAAGCTCTTATTTTCATTTAAACAGAAGCCCTCTCTTGCTACCAGTGGAATTTTGTGTAATTCATAAAGTTGTCAGGTCTACTCTAGTCCTTGCAGGTTGCTCATTCTATGCTATCAACACATGTTTTGGTGGGTTCATCAATTTTTTCAAAGATCCAAGAAGGTATTGGCACCTTTGAAATGATTAGGCCATCACCTCTTGCCGTCTTATGTTTTTTAAGCATTTATTGCTACACTCCTATGTGTGCTTTTTTCAGGACTAAAGCCTGTTAAATTTAACCAAGTGAACATAGGTAAGCTTGCACTGTAAATCTGGTATTGCTTTGAAGATCTGCAATCCCATTTGAAGTCAGGCATGCAAGAAATGACTGTGCATACCAATGCTGCTTATGTGAAATTGTATGCTTTCCCTGCTTCTGCAACAAAGGAAGCAAAGCAGAGTTCGGGGCTCTGATCAAGGCAGGCAAATATTAATATTATGATGTAGCCTATTAGGAGATTTTTCCTAAATTGCTAAATGTGCAACCTCCCATGGTCTCCATAGTCCAAAGGAAGGAGCAGTATTGGAGCCAATAAGCAATGTAAGACATAGATTATATGAAGAAGCAAGTTTCTGAACAAGAGATATCAGAAACAGCCTTAGGAAAAAAACTGGAAGGAAGGTCTGATGGGTATATAGATCCCTGAAGCTCTGCTCCCTAGAAGCAAAGGGGAGGGGTTGTTTCGCTTTGTTTTCCTTAAGCATTATTTGGATATTCTGAAACATGATTTAATCTGACACATTTCTTTCCCTCCTTCTCTCCAGAGATCTCATGGCAATTTACTCCTTTTCCATTGAAAATTTAGCCAGGCACAAAGAAGCACCAGCTTCTATAAGTTTTATAACTGAATAGAGATACAGCTGGGTTACCTTGGGCCAGTCACTCACTCTCAGTCTTAGAAAAGAGGCAAATGGCACACCACATCTGAAATCTTGCCAAAAAACCTGCGGGGATATATGTCCAGGTAATCGCTGGAAGTCAGCACTGACTCAAAAACAGGCCCCAAAAGGGAGGGGAGGGGTGTTAAACCACATGTCTCTAATATGAATCCCCGCACTCTTATTATCAGGCCTAGAAAATTGGTTTTATAGAAAAAAAAGGATGTTTTTAAACAGAAGAGGATATACTGTTCTAAACAGGGAAGAAAGTAAATCCTTTTCTGTGAATTAAGTATTAATTAGTGATTTTCATTACCATATGATTTGTCAATAATTGCATACTGTAATATGTTCCTGCACCATGGATCTTTTATTGATATTACTTGTTATTAATATTGTTTGTTTTAAAATTATTTTTAAATGGACTCCATCGCCATCTTTAGAGATTGAACATCTGTGTAGCTTAATGGGAAAGTAGTCCCTTGAAGCCTCCTCATCTCTCTTTCCTTCTTAGAACTCTTTCTGAAGTGATGCGGAACTCACTCCATTTTGAGTACTTCAGGAACTTCCTTCGGCTGCACAATGCAGAAGCCCCACTCCTTTTCTGCCTGGCTGTAGAAGATATAAAGAACGAGCAAGATCCCAGGATTCAGCAGATGCAGATCAACGAGTGTGTCCGAACTTACTTCTTCAACGCTATCCCACCTGGTATGCAGCAAGCAAGTCTCTCATTCTATCTCACAAGGCTAGAGATAGGCCCAGCAGGGGTGATTCACTGTTGAAGCTTACCTCCTTGCTGACAGCCACAAAATCTTCTGCCTGTCTTGTGCTCCTGCCTTACTAGTCTGGATGAGCCTTCTGCCTGGTGCCCTGTGAACCTGTGAGACAGAGGGGAGAAAAGGCAGTATTGTCTTTCTCAGCAGAAAGTTCCTGGTCTCCTCCTGATTTTGGCTCCTTGAACACTGGGCGCTATCTTGAACACTGGGCGCTATCTAACAAAATGAAATTCAATGGTGAAAAAAGTAAGGTTCTACATTTAGGCAAGAAAAACCAAATGTACAAGTATAGTATAGGCTAGGGGGTACCTTGCTCAATAGTAGTACTGTAACTGTGAGAGGAATCTCGGAGTCCTAGTGGACAATCATTTAAATATGAGCCAGCAGTGTGCTGCAGCTGCCAAAAAAGCCAACACAGTGCTAGGCTGCATTAACAGAGGGATAGAATCAAGATCACGTGAAGTATTAATACCACTTTACAATGCCTTGGTAAGGCCACACTTGGAATACTGCATCCAGTTTTGGTCACCACGATGTAAAAA